TTATAAAAGTTTTTAATGACAATCCGTGCAAAATTGAAGTAATATTCATTTTTCCATATCGCCAGTTAGGAAACAATAGAGTTTCAAAACAAGTCCGTATGATTGCAAACATTCCTGGATTTCTTTCTGTAATTTCTTTAATTTTAGTGAAAAGTTATTTCTTAATTTCATTCAAATATTTCAAGATTATGTTCGTGATGTATGTAGTCGAAATAACTGTAATTTTTGTCACTGTTATAACAACAATGAAATCGGTTATGTTACAAGTTTCAGTCGAACATTGAATATGAATCGCGCGCATGCAATGATTATCAGTAGCCTTATTTCAATGTTATCCTCATCGTTGAAAGTTTATTCTTAAGTACTGTATTAAAAATATATAACAATCCGAACATTAAGATTAGACCGAATACGACCATTTCAGTTCTTGAACTATTTGTTCTAATAGCAATATGATTTTTTTTAGAAATTAGGAGGTAACGCTTGAAAAGTAAAAAGTATTAATTTAACAATATTGTTGTATCATATACACCGACCAAGTATCCATTTTGTCTAATTTAAAGGGGCACTAGCTACGAGATATATAAAAAATAAAATGAAATATGATATTTTTTTGTTCAATCATTAATGAAAGTGAAATAGTGAAATAATAATTCGCTTTTAGGAGCCAGTATGGTTCAATTTTGTCAAAATAAGCTAAGAAACATCAATAATGAATTATTCACTTGCAGGTTAATAATTCGGTCTCATTGAATCCGTATTCATGTGACCTTCAATTTGACATTAGCTAGAGACGGATTACGCATAAATTATGCGTGTTAAATTATTAAGAGGAAAATAATGTCAACATTGGAAGTGAAACAAAGGTAAATCTTTTGATTGACTAATTCGATCCACAAAAACTAATTTTTATACAGGTGAAAACGATGATTAACATATATTTTCAACCTATAATATGAAATTAGATAGACCTAGAATAATCCAATAGCACGAGTTCGCTATCTATTTATATCTATATTTATGTTTATATCGCTTATATGACCGTCGGTAGTCTTCGGAGGTCAACTCGATAGTTAATTAGATGGCGTCTAGACTAAAATATTCACGAAACGATGATACATATTATCAAGTCCATGCCTTATAAATTGTTTATTTTAGAGTTTTTATAATTTGGATATACGTTTTAGTATGTTATAAATCAAATATGAGAATTTGAGTCAAATCGGTGAACATGAATTTGACAACCAATGCCCCTTTAAGTAAATGTTTTACCTGTATAAACGACATCAAAATACAGCCTCTAAAGGAGTAGGGGCATTAAGGCCCGGTTTTGGCCCAAGAAAATAAAATATTTGACAACTTTTTCAAATTTGCACATTTTGTTTGGAAATGCATAGAGTCAGGAAATATAAGTGAAAAACATAAGAATTTTTATCTGATGACGTCACAATTACGTCATAATATGTACCGTTTTCATGAAAACTATGAAAAATACAGAATTTATGCAGTTTCCATCTTTATTTCCATTGCGGAAACATCGTGCGCAGCCAAGAAACAACAAAATAATTAAAGAGAAGCTTAATTATAACTATTGACATAATCTCACCAAATATAAAGTTGTTTCTTGTGTGCGCACATACTTTGCCAATCTAAAATATACTTAAAATTTGATGAAAAACAAGGAAAATCAAGAAATTTTACAAAATATACAAATTTCGTCATGGTTTGTTGCCATGGTAACTCGTTAAACCTGAAATTTGTTTTTGTTTTCTGAATACCTGGTACATTAGTCTAGTTATGACAAATTTCAGAATATGTATGATAACTTTTAAATTTGCAGTTATATTTGGGCCAAATAAGGGCCTTATTGCCCCGTCGTCCATTGATATTTTTTCAGTGGTTCATGGGATGGATTTTAAAAATAAATGAAGACATTAGCTTTTAGAAGATGTTATAAAAACTATATTCTAAGCAGCCACACAAATACTGAAACTTCATTTTATGGCTTCTGTTCGAACGTTTCTACAGGAAAACAGACAGTTCTAAACTAAAACCATTAATATATCTTAAGCGGTTAGATTAAAGGGACAAAAATCAGTGAGGCATGATATTTCTTTATTTCTTTTTTTTTTTTTAATTCCCATCATTGAATTATGTATATGTGTTCAATATTAAAATAGAGAGAATTCAACTGAGTTAACGCAGTTAAAATTTTAAAGATGCACAGAAGACGAATAGCACGCAATAGATGCATTTGTAGTACTCGTTTTTACCCACTCTAATACTATCTGTTACAGAAATACAGCCAGGAAATGCAGGGGATAATAAACCTTTTGTTTTAATTATATTTCAAATCGAATAGTGTGTTTACATTTTACTGTGCATCGTTGACATCGGATATCATTTCTGAATTTTAGTGAATACGATACTTATCCGATGAAGTTACGACTCATGATTAAAAACTGTCGGTTTATACTAAGAAACTTGGTGTCCATTATAATACAAGTACTTTATCATTGCTCACATCTAAAAATCCAGTTACTGTAGCAGCCATTTTAGCAATTTTTCATCTTCATTCAATATTACGTACGTACTTTTGAATTATTTCTATCGGTGAAAACTCACAAAAAAGTGCCATTCGTTATATCCAAAGGACAAAACACCCAGACGAGTGAAGGTGAACACCATAAAGTAACTCTCCATTCTTGAAAGATAAAAGCATTGTCACTGGCCCGGGTTATTTTTTGTGAATAAAGTTACCCCCGATTACTCCCCTTTGTTTAGATTTTAATTTGAATAAGTTCTACTGGACCACTTTCTTTCATGTTGTGATATTTTGTACTTGCATATTCTGAAATTTGGTTTGTGAATTTGAGTTGCAGAAATGTATGTCGATTAATCGGTCTAGACCGGATGTAGACCGGTCCGGTTATTTATAAGCACATTCAGAACAGAACGAAATACTTTGGATTAACTTGAATTGATTTATACCTAATTCTGATTATTTGAATATTAGTTTTCTGGTTAATCCTCGGGTTTTGAACCTGATAACTAGATTTTGAAATGTCGGCTATAGTTTGTTTATCCCTTTCAAACGACCACTATCAGTAGGGTAGTTACACTTGTCTGTCTGTCTGTTAAACCTTTATCGTTGTTGGAACTACAAGACTAGTTTACATGTGTTAACTTTTACTCTGAAAATTAACAGTAAAGCCAGAATGGAATTGGTTTTTCATATTTGAATTAGAATTGGACACACTGGGAAATATGACATTTGAGATTTAGCTTTGGTTTTGACAGTGATGAAATAGTTAACTAATAAACAACTTTCGAGATCGATCGTTGCATTTCCGTCAAAAATCTTTGATTTTAGTAAACATCATTCGTTCGTTTAGGGGCATCGTCACTTCCTTCCCATGTAGAGCGAGCGGCTGAAAAAATATGATTCTATATTGCTCGAATTATTCGGCAAATTAAATTCTGATCAATTCTTATAATTAATAACCAGCACTGCTGTCATTAGGGAATTGTGATTAAGTACCTACGGAACAAACATTATTTCTAGTTTATCCTGCATAGTGACGATCACGAAGACGCTTGATGAACTTTGATAGTGCAAGGATACAGGCAATCCCCTCTATTTGGTAAATGACTTTATAAAGGCGCGCATAATTGACGAACTTTTCTGGTGAAGGACATAACTCCAAAATGGTCTCAGACTTTTGGAACTTGGACCAGTTCACCTGAAGTTGTGACCTCCTTCGTAAATTTACAAACTACAGTCGAAATTTTTGTTTGTTATCTTGTCTTTTCTCCTGATTGTAGTGAACAAAAAAGGCCAAAGATTAGCATCTAATCATAAGAACAGGTTCTACTAGTCACACTTATACGCAACTGTTAAAGTAATGTAATAAATATAAATAAGAAGATATGGTATGAGTGCCAATGAGACAACTGTCCATCCAAGTCACAATGTAAGCTGAAGATGACAAAGAGGATACTTGGGTCTTGAGTCCAGCAGATATTTCATATGATTAAATCATTCTTTAAACTAGTAAATTACATACCTAATAAAACTTTAACCTATTCAAGTCATAGGTATACCTGTAGTTATAAAGTCCTCGAGCGAAAGTATAGGCCTAACCATACCCTGGAATTAGACTATAAGAAATGTTGTTGGACTTCTGTCTACAATATAAATGTAAACAAAATCCTGGAAATGGTCCATAGACAGTACCCGACAACGTTTCAATACTACATAAGAGACGATTACAACTTTAACACCAAAAAGTTTCTGTTTTGGGGCAATTTTCCTCTTGTCGCATCTGGTGGCGTGTTTATTACACAACTCAAATATGTACTTTAGAAGCTGACTCTGATTAACACAAGGCTATTCTTGCATATTCTTGCATAGAATGTTTCAATAATTTGCCAAAATGTAGTTATTATCATTTTGTTTTTGTTCAAAAACATAATAAAAAGAATTGGTCACAGAGCTTTTTTTTCCACTTACAGGTTGTGCAAGATTGTCAGATTTTAGTTATAGATTACACATTGAAAAAAACACCGTTTTGTGCGATAGAAAATAGACTCAACAAGAGAAATGATATTTTAAGATAAAATATCAGAAGTTGCTGATAATAGCTCTTAAAATGTGCTTTAAGAAAATAAAAATAAAGATTACAGTAACGGAATTCATTTTCCACCTCCGAAACAAAATTGAAAAATTTACCACTTACTTTTTTTTAAAAGTTACATTATCTGAGTTATGCTGTTTTGATTTGAACGCCACTAATGAGTCTTATGTAGACGAAACGTGCGTCTGGCGTATTAAATATTGAGCTGATTTTTTTTTTATTTTGTGATATGGCTAACTTGGAAAAAAAAATGAATCAAACAAAACATATTCTGCATTTGTAAAAACAGTCGTAGTAATAAGATAAAGCACATTATTTTCTTCATTTAGAATGCAAAATCTAACAAAAGAATAGAATTCCTCCTTCAAAATGTGCATGTTTTATTAAAGATCAAGTTAGACCGAGTGTTAATGCTATTTACAATCCAATAAAAAAAAACTAAATTAAATTGTCATTAACCGTAAAAAAACGTCTATAAAGAGTAAAGTTACAGCTGTGGTTGCATTGACGTAGTTGACAAACGTGTTGTGTTTATCTTTTTTGTTCTAGTACTAATTTAGATCGATCTCTGTGTTCACATTTAAATTTAGATCGTCTATATATGTTTCTAATTTAAACTAAACTACCGTTTTTGGTGTTTTACTTAAAACCGATTCAAAGTATTCACCATGTGTTCACATTGGTTGGCTTAAATCGATCTAAAGTGAACCGATCTAGTATAAATCGATCAAAATGTCCAAGTGTGAACGGGGTCTTGATCTTTTAAACTGACTATAGTAAGATGATTGTGGCAAAGATTGAACAAAATGGTCTGATAGTTGCAGTCTTACAGAGGACAAGATGTTTGGAAAATGTTAACGACAACAGACGCCAAGTACCGGCAATAGCTCACATATGCATTGACGTTCAGTCCAGGTGAGTCTTAATAAAACCAAAAAACCATTAATAATCACATGAAAGAACGGTAGGGAAATTTAAAGCCGAGTTGACAGTGATATATTCGGTCTATCATAGGTGTAGATATGTATATAGAGTGTCAGAAATATGATACATGTTTATGTAATTCGTAATGACATAGCTTGCGTCTGTTTGATGTCCGTCAGTCCGTTGTTTATATTTGCATTATCTCTGTTTCAAACGAAGATAAACTTAAACCAAGCTTCATGATGAACTGCAAGCGGATCTTTTAAAACTCCAGTGGTTTGATAAAAACTAAATCGTATGTACTTAAATGTTAATGAGTTTATATTTTCTTGAGAAATAAATTTAGCAAAATGATCTATTATTGCCCCTACAACCCTGGTTAAAGTAAAACATAGTTGGTCTCTTAAAACTTTGTTGCATTCTGTTTGGTTTAAAGCGTTCCTGATAAAGATTAAGGATGTTCGCTCCTATGTTTCAAAATATCAAGCTTTTGAAAACACTGTTATAAATTGAGATATATATAAATAATGGAACTTAAAAAGCAGAACAGAAATGAAAGGTCGATGTTCTTGTTTTTGAGATAAGAGCAATTGAAAATTTCGCTCTAGATTTTACATTGGAACCTTTTTTCGTTCAAAAGCTATACAAAAAATAATAAGGATTTTATAAGCTTTTAAAAATTATTTTTTTAAACTATATGTTATAAAATTATGAAAAGAAAAAGTAAAGGTAAGCAGGCAAGCGTTTTAGTGGGACTACATGGATAAAACTAGAGGATTCCGAATATCTGACAAAAAGCCAAAAACAAGAGTAGAGAAAATCCTTAATCCAAAAAGATGCTTCGCACGCACAGAAATAATCAAGTATTATATTCATTTTACATCCGTATTTTTTTCCCAATGAAGATTCAGTTCAGGTTTATGAAAGACGTTAAACAGTTTGCTATGTAATTCGAGATAACGTCACAGATTGGAAAATGATACACAACAACGTTCGTTGCTACACATGTACAACGATTACAAAAAGTAAAGCTTTGTCTTTGGTGTACGTCCTTATGAAATACCTTTTCCGAAGTGAATGAAAATCATACACCAGTTTCTACCCTTAATTAGTATTCTTCATAAAGAAAAAGGCAACCTATTCATTTTTTTTTTATTTTTGACACTTCTACTATATCAACATTCTTTTGATGAGCTTGTTGTTTCACTACTTTTGCTTAAAAAGATACAGTTTACGTTGAAATCGCAATCGTACAAGTTGATCTCTAAGACAGTCACCTAAACACTGTGTGTTAATCCTTTATAAAAAAGGGAATAACACATGTAACAAAATATTATCTTATTTTCATCCTCTCTTCCTTCTTCCATCTTTTCCACCTTTTTGTTTCTTTCCACTTGCCCGGTCTTGGTCTTTTTGCTTTCTTCTTTGTCCTTTCTGATGTTTGTCTTTGGTGCTCGGTCTCTTGCCTTTTGTATTTTCGCTACTTCCCTTTTTCCTTCCTCTTTTTGACAAACCCCTTAACACTGCCCTTGCCACGTGTCTCCAAATTGCATGGGCTCCAGGCAACAAGACAGCGGAGTTTTGTGATATCATTTCTTGTCCAGTCCATACCGAATTTATCAGATTGCCAACATCACCACAGAAGGCAAAAATCACAATTAAAGCAACGACTTTCTGGTAAAGCTTCATTGTCTTTTATGTATGCAATAAGCTTACTTTGGTGTCTTAGTAAGTTCCTAAAACAAAGATGTATATGTAAATAACTACAAACATGATATAAGTAATGTCATACAGTTATCTGGTTATAAATATGTGAAGTGATTGGACAGTTAGATATTAAATGAGAAACCGGAAGCACCATTCTGGATTTAACTTAAAATTTATCAGAATCACGCTAACCAAAAAAAAGTTGAAAACCGCAAAGGATGAAGAAATACATATATCTAGACAAGTGAATAGCTAATAAAATAGTCAAAGTTATCTAAAATTTAAAGTATTTGATTTGTTTATTAGATTTTATCGAAATTTAAGGAGTTCTTGTTTATAGGTCTATTATCTTTTTAATATTTCTCTCGATTTTTTTTTATATTTTTGCAAATAAGGAAGAAGTGTTTTTCCTCTTCTGATATTCTCTGTTCTTTAAGGTCTTATATGTCTGCCCTTTTCTTTTTATAGAGTGCATTCACTCATTCTAAACTTATAATAACATTATTTTTCAAAAGGAAAATTAGTGTGATTAAGTTGAAATTTTCCATTTCCAATTACTTTTATGACAATATTACACATATATATTGTTGCTTTCATTCAAATCATTTATTCTTTTCTGTATTACTGTTTTAAAATATTCATAACATAATGATTTAATAAGCATTGTTTTAAAATTTGTATGACTTACACTAATATAAATCTAATGAAAATTAATAAATATAAGTTTAGAGATCGACTTCTCGAGGATCACAATACCATGGAACGCTTGTTGTTGCCTTTGAATTAACCATTAGTATATATCACAATATAATATCTTACCTTGTATTTGATGTCAGTCGCTCAGCTTGTCTCTATATGAATCAATGACACAATACATAAACACTTTTGAACCTATATTTATATACACTTATTTGTTGGTTACATCCTGTCAATTTTAATATGTAGGTGTGCCTATATTGCTCACATGTTGGGAAAATCCTTTAACGTAATTTATTGAAAAATACTATAACTGGAAATTCTACAGCTAGAAGTTTACCTAATATACATTTTCAACAATTTATATAATTGTGTTATTGCTGTATCAACTGTAAGAAATAAACTACAAGATACAACTCAGGTTATCTATTCCTGGGGTAGAAAATCCGTAGTATTTCAAAAATGCATTAATAGGTAAATAGTTAATTTATAATTATGACCATATCAATGATCCTAATTCATGTCAACGCAGAAGTGCTGACTAATGGGCTAGTGATACCTACGGGGAGGAAACTCCAATCAGCAGTGGCTTCGACCCAGAAGTTGTTAATAAACTCATCATAGATACCAGGATTAGAAATTTTGCACGCGAGACGCTCGTTTCGTCTGCAAAAAACTTATCAGTGACACTCTGATCAGAATAGTTAAAAAGGCAAAATAAAGTACGAAGTTGAAGAGCATTGAGGACCCAAAATACAGCAAAGATAATCTATTCCTAGGGGTAGAAAATTCTTAGTAAAAGAGATGAATTAGTCGACAGAAGAAGAATTTGCTACCTAACTAAGAAGAAGCAATTCCGTCATGATGTTATTTCTGTAACAATGATTATCTTTTTAAGCATTTATTACTAAGGTACACAATATCATAGTTTCATATATGAGTACAATAAATTAGTTACATCATCGTGTCATACTTTCCAACATCTAACCACATCATGAAGTTTAATGATTGTCCCAAACTTCAATTTTGATAGATTTTGGAAATTTTAAGAAGTAATTGAAACATAACTTTTGGATATTCAAAATCATGTCAAAGAAATTATATGGGAAGTAGATATGTTGAATTTTCAGGATTGTTTTTGTTTTGTTTTGTGCATTGTTTTAGTTTTCGTTTTTCTGTGATCAGCAAGACAAGATCTACAATTAAGACAATATGGAGGAAATTGTCCGACGACTCCTTATTGGAGTTATTGCCCTTTAATGACAATTTTTATCATTGATTTAGCTTTTTGTCTTATATGATAAAAATTCAAATAGATAAATAGAAAATTCAAATTACAAAAATTCAGCAAGGCAAGATCTACAAACATGTCAAATGTTCCCGATATAGTTAGTAGACTGTCACTCTTCATAGGAATGATTGCCCTTGAATGTGGATTTGTTTTACCCTCTTTTGTGTTTTGAGCAAAAAACTCAAAAAGAAAGAGAAAAACTAAACAGACTAAATGATCAGCAAAACAAGATCAACAAAAAAAAAAAGATTTTTGTCATGAGTTCTATTCATGTCTACAATGTTGGAGAGTGTCCTTTGTTGAATATGCACGTATACCTAGGTGAGCAATAGAGGCTCTAAAGTATGGGTTATAAATTGATTCAATTTCAATGACAACAGTACATCTAAATACAATTGATCGATAAAGAAATACATGCAATAATTAATATCATTTGTCACGTTAAATTAATTAGGGCATCATAGTTTGATACCTACACCAAGGCTCAGGGGATATTCAAAATTCTTAAAGGTTTTATCATGAAGTTTTAAAAAAATTGATATAAATATTCTTTTCCAGTAAAGGAGAAGGTATGATAAAGTCTTTTGTTTTCCTCTTTGACTCGAAATTTATAATTTTTTTTTATAAAGCTATAGTATAATTCTAAAGATATATATCTCCTAGTTGATACGATATGCCATAGCTTGTGTTTCTTGTCAAATAGATTTTGAATGGTAAAATTGAAATCTTCTTTCCGAAATTTCACGAACTCAATTATGACTTGGATGACCGCTATGTCCCTGATGACAACGGATATATCTCATATGTCGTAGATATACGGGCCCTCGGTGGGCGAGTTGTCTGAGTAGTCGAACTACTGTACAGTATCACTAGCCTGTCGACACTGAGGTTGTGAGTTCGAATTCCGCACGTGACTGGTGCGATCGACTACAATATTGATTGAATAGGATTGAAAGTTTTCCTACAGAAAGTCGGTTGTTCTCTCCGGGCATTTTGGCTTCCTCCACCAATATAAACAGAATGCCACGATAGCACAATAGGGCTGGAAGTGGCGATAAGTACCAATCAATCAATTGCAGATATACTATTTTGTGTTCCAACTGCAGAGCCTTAAATTAGTACGGTTTTCATCATTGTTTTTTTTTCTATTATTTTCCGGGGAAGGGAGCGGGGTAAGATACAGGGACGTTCGTATTTTGTATGTCTTTCTTCGACTATTGGTCTTTGATTGTCACTTATTTAAGCAGCTGATTTCAGAAACTCGTTCACGAGGCAACAACCAAAACGACACAAAAACTAAAAACGTAATTTATTTTAGGGAGCTACCATTTGATTTTTATAGGGGCTAGGATGACAAGTTTTGGCCTGCATTTTTGTTAAGTTGTAATCTCTGTCCTGCCTTTTTATTTTTCACTCTTTTCGGTCCTGCCTTTTTATTTTTCTCTCTTTTTGGTCCTGCTTTTTCTAATTAGTTTATCCTGACTTGTTTTACATAAATTGTCATCCTGCCTTTTTTTTTACACAAAACTCCTGTCCTGCCTTTTTTTCAAATTTCATCCAAAAGGCTTCTTTAGTTTTTCTGTAAATTTCGGTTCCAAATATTCTTTCTATTGCGGTGACTTTTAAATTTTTCATCGAATGATTATGTTGAATGAAGTGGTTTGCCACTGGATCGTCTGTTTTGTTTGTTCTTATTTTAGAAAAGTTCAAAAACAAACTAATGGCCGTGGACCATGCGGTAAAAATTGTGCATTATGCTCACACATTAATGAGACCAAGGTTTTTTGTGATAACATCGGAAAAGAATATTCCATTCAGGGACAAATAAACTGTAAAACCGTGGGCGTAGTATATGCAATTAACTGTACAAAATGCGAAAAACTTATTTATGTAGGACAAACAGGTGATACACTATATTAACGGATGTAATTGAACTTTTCAAAAATTAGAACAAACAAAACAGACGATCCAGTAGCAAACCATTTCATTCAACATAATCATTCGATGAAAAATTTAAAAGTTACTGGAATAGAAAGAACATTTGGCACAGATATTTACAGGAAAACTAAAGAAGCATTTTGGATAAAAAAAAACTAAAAACTTTAGAACCTGATGGACTCAACACAATGTATGAACGATAGTGAAAATATTTATAAAAAGAGTAAAAAACGCGGGAAATGAACGTCATAGTAGTTGTTATTGCGTAATGTATCCAAGCGATGTAATTGTTGTTTCAATGTTGTAATCTATTCCAATGAAGAAGGCCATAATGGCCGAAACGTATGGAAAATTGTGTTATAGTTTTTATTATATATATATATATGTGTTTGTAACAAAAATAAGGATGTGGTTTGATTGTCATTGATCGCGAAAAAAATATACAGTTTACGTTGAAATCGCAATCGTACAAGTTGATCTCTAGAACAGTCACCTAAACACTGTGTTAATCCTTTATAAAGAAGGGAATAACACATGTAACAAAATAATATCTTATTTTTATCCTCTCTTCCTACTTCCATCTTTTCCACCTTTTTGTTTCTTTCCACCTGCCCGGTCTTGGTCTTTTTGCTTTCTGCTTTGTCCTTTCTGATGTTTGCCTTTGGTGCTCGGTCTCTTGCCTTTTGTATGTTCGCTACCTCCTTTTTTCCTTCCTCTTCTTGACAAACCCCTTACCACTGTCCTTGCCACATGTCCCCAAATTGCATGGGCTCCAGGCAACAAGAGAGCGGAGTTTTGTGATATCATTTCTTGTCCAGTCCATACCGAATTTATCAGATTGCCAACATCACCACAGAAGGCAAAAATCACAATTAAAGCAACGACTTTCTGGTAAAGCTTCATTGTCTTTTATGTATGCAATAAGCTTACTATGGTATCTTAGTCAGTTCCTAAAACAAAGATGTATATGTAAATAACTACAAACATAATATAAGTAATGTCATACAGTTATCTGGTTATAAATATGTGAAGTGATTGGACAGTTAGATATTAAATGAAAAGCCGGACGCAATATTTTTGATTTAACTTAAAATTTATCAGAATCACGCTAACCAAAAAAAAGTTGAAAACCGTGAAGGATGAAGAAATACATATATCTAGACAAGTGAATAACTAATAAAATAGTCAAAGTTATCTAAAAAAGTGTTTGATTTGTTTATTAGATTTTATCGAAATTTAAGGAGTTCTTGTTTATAGGTCTCATATCTTTTTAATATTTCTCTCGATTTTTTTTTATATTTTTGCAAATAAGGAAGAAGTATTTTTCCTCTTCTGATATTCTCTGTTCTCTAAGGTCTTATATGTCTGCCCTTTTCTTTTTATAGAGTGCATTCACTCATTCTAAATTTATAATAACATTATTTTTCAAAAGGAAAATTAGTGTGATTAAGTTGAAATTTTGCATTTCCAATTACTTTTATGACAATATTACACATATATATTGTTGCTTTCATTCAAATCATTTATTCTTTTCTGTATTACTGTTTTAAAATATTCATAACATAATGATTTAATAAGCATTGTTTTAAAATTTGTATGACTTACACTAATATAAATCTAATGAAAATTAATAAATATAAGTTTAGAGATCGACTTCTCGAGGATCACAATACCATGGAACGCTTGTGGTTGCCTTTAAATTAACCATTAGTATATATCACAATATAATATCTTACCTTGTATTTGATGTCAGTCGCTCAGCTTGTCTCTATATGAATCAATGACACAATACATAAACACTTTTGAACCTATATTTATATACACTTATTTGTTGGTTACATCCTGTCAATTTTAATATGTAGGCGTGCCTATATTGCTCACATGTTGGGAAAATCCTTTAACGTAATTTATTAAAAAATACTATAACTGGAAATTCTACAGCTAGAAGTTTTCCGAATATCCATTTTCAACAATTTATATAATTGTGTTAGTGCTGTATCAACTGTAAGAAATAAACTACAAGATACAGCTCAGGTTATCTATTCCTGGGGTAGAAAATCCTTAGTATTTCGAAAAATGCATAAATAGGTAAACAGTTAATTTATAATTATGACCATATCAATGATCCTAATTCATGTCAACGCAGAAGTGCTGACTAATGGGCTAGTGATACCTACGGGGAGGAAACTCCAATCAGCAGTGGCTTCGACCCAGAAGTTGTTAATAAACTCATCATAAATACCAGCATTAGAAATTTTGCACGCGAGACGCTCGTTTCGTCTGCAAAAAACTTATCAGTGACACTCTGATCAAAATAGTTAAAAAGGCAAAATAAAGTACGAAGTTGAAGAGCATTGAGGACCCAAAATACAGCAAAGATAATCTATTCCTGGGGTAGAAAATTCGTAGTAAAAGAGATAAATTAGTCGACAGAAGAAGAATTTGCTACCTAACTAAGAAGAAGCAATTCCGTCATGATGTTATTTCTGTAACAATGATTATCTTTTAAAGCATTAATTACTAAGGTAAACAATATCATAGTTTCATATATGAGTACAATAAATTAGTTTCATCATCGTGTCATACTTTCCAACATCTAACCACATCATGAAGTTTAATGATTGTCCCAAACTTCAATTTTGATAGATTTTGGAAATTTTAAGAAGTAATTGAAACATAACTTTTGGATATTCAAAATCATGTCAAAGAAATTATTTGGGAAGTAAAGATATGTTGAATTTTCAGGATTGTTTTTGTTTTGTTTTGTGCATTGTTTTAGTTTTCGTTTTTCTGTGATCAGCAAGACAAGATCTACAATTAAGACAATATGGAGGAAATTGTCCGACGACTCCTTATTGGAGTTATTGCCCTTTAATGACAATTTTTACCATTGATTTAGCTTTTTGTCTTATATGATAAAAATTATAATAGATAAATAGAAAATTCAAATTACAAAAATGATCAGCAAGGCAAGATCTACAAACATGTCAAATGTTCCCGATATAGTTAGTAGACTGTCACTCTTCATAGGAATGATTGCCCTTGAATGTGGATTTGTTTTACCCTCTTTTGTGTTTTGAGCAAAAAACTCAAGAAGAAAGAGAAAAACTAAACAGACTAAATGATCAGCAAAACAAGATCAACAAAAAAAGAAAAAGATTTTTGTCATGAGTTCTATTCATGTCTACAATGTTGGAGAGTATCCTTTGTTGAATATGCACGTATACCTAGGTGAGCGATAGAGGCTCTAAAGTATGGGTTATAAATTGATTCAATTTCAATGACAACAGTACATCTAAATACAATTGATAGATAAAGAAATATATGCAATAATTAATATCATTTGTCACATTAAATTAATTATGGCATCATAGTTTGATACCTACACCAAGGCTCAGGGGATATTCAAAATTCGTAAAGGTTTTATCATGAAGTTTAAAAAAAAACTGATATAAATATTCTTTTCCAGTAAAGGAGAAGGTACGATCAAGTCTTTTGTTTTCCTCTTGGATTCGAAATTTAAATTTTTTTTTTATAAAGCTATAGTATAATTTTAAAGATATATATCTCCTAGTTGATACGATATGCCATAGCTTGTGTTTCTTGTCAAATAGATTTTAAAATTGAGAATGGAAATGGGGAATGTGTCAAAGAGACAACAACCCGACCACAGAACAGACAACAGCAGAAGGCCACCAACAGGTCTTCAATGCAGCGAGAAATTCCCGCACCCGGAGGCGTCCTTCAGCTGGCCCCTAAACAAATATATATACTAGTTCAGTGATAATGAACGCCATACTAAACTCCAAATTGTACACAAGAAACTAAAATTAAAAATAATACAAGACTAACAAAGGCTAGAGGCTCCTGACTTGGGACAGGCGCAAAAATGCGGCGGGGTTAAACATGTTTATGAGATCTCAACCCTCCCCCTATACCTCTAGCCAATGTAGAAAAGTAAACGCATAACAATACGCACATTAAAATTCAGTTCAAGAGAAGTCCGAGTCTGATGTCAGAAGATGTAACCAAAGAAAATAAACAAAATGACAATAATACATAAATAACAACAGACTACTAGCAGTTAACTGACATGCAATTTTGAATGGTAAAATTGAAATCTTCTTTCCGAAATTTCACGAACTCAATTATGACTTGGATGACCGCTATGTCCCTGATGACAACGGATATATCTCATATGTCGTAGATATACGGGCCCTCGGTGGTCGAGTTGTCTGAGTAGTCGAACTACTGTACAGTATCACTAGCCTGTCGACACTGAGATTGTGAGTTCGAATTCCGCACGTGACTGGTGCGATCGATTCCAATATTGATTGAATAGGATTGAAAGTTTTCCTACAGAAAGTCGGTTGTTCTCTCCAGGCATTTTGGCTTCCTCCACCAATACAAACAGAATGCCACGATAGCACAATAGGGCTGGAAGTGGCGATAAGTACCAATCAATCAATTGCAGATATACTATTTTGTGTTCCAACTGCAGAGCCTTAAATTAGTACGGTTTTCATCATTGTTTTTTTTTCTATTATTTTCCGGGGAAGGGAGCGGGGTAAGATACAGGGACGTTCGTATTTTGTATGTTTTTCTTCGACTATTGGTCTTTGATTGTCACTTATTTAAGCAGCTGATTTCAGAAACTCGTTCACGAGACAACAACCAAAACGACACAAAAACTAAAAACGTAATTTATTTTAGGGAGCTACCATTTGATTTTTATAGGGGCTAGGATGACAAGTTTTGTCCTGCATTTTTGTTTAGTTGTAATCTCTGTCCTGCCTTTTTATTTTTCACTCTTTTCGGTCCTGCCTTTTTATTTTTCTCTCTTTTTGGTCTTGCTTTTTCGAATTAGTTTATCCTGACTTGTTTTACATAAATTGTCATCCTGCCTTTTTTTTTTCACAAAACTCCTGTCCTGCCTTTTTTTCAAATTTCATCCAAAAGGCTTCTTTAGTTTTTCTGTAAATTTCGGTTCCAAATATTCTTTCTATTGCGGTGACTTTTAAATTTTTCATCGAATGATTATGTTGAATGAAGTGGTTTGCCACTGGATCGTCTGTTTTGTTTGTTCTTATTTTAGAAAAGTTCAAAAACAAACTAATGGCCGTGGACCATGCGGTAAAAATTGTGCATTATGCTCACACATTAATGAGACCAAGGTTTTTTGTGATAACATCGGAAAAGAATATTCCATTCAGGGACAAATAAACTGTAAAACCGTGGGCGTAGTATATGCAATTAACTGTACAAAATGCGAAAAACTTATTTATGTAGGACAAACAGGTGATACACTATATTAACGGATGTAATTGAACTTTTCAAAAATTAGAACAAACAAAACAGACGATCCAGTAGCAAACCATTTCATTCAACATAATCATTCGATGAAAAATTTAAAAGTTACTGGAATAGAAAGAACATTTGGCACAGATATTTACAGGAAAACTAAAGAAGCATTTTGGATAAAAAAAACTAAAAACTTTAGAACCTGATGGACTCAACACAATGTATGAACGATAGTGAAAATATTTATAAAAAGAGTAAAAAACGCGGGAAATGAACGTCATAGTAGTTGTTATTGCGTAATGTATCCAAGCGATGTAATTGTTGTTTCAATGTTGTAATCTATTCCAATGAAGAAGGCCATAATGGCCGAAACGTATGGAAAATTGTGTTATAGTTTTTATTATATATATATATATGTGTTTGTAACAAAAATAAGGATGTGGTTTGATTGTCATTGATCGCGAAAAAAATATACAGTTTACGTTGAAATCGCAATCGTACAAGTTGATCTCTAGAACAGTCACCTAAACACTGTGTTAATCCTTTATAAAGAAGGGAATAACACATGTAACAAAATAATATCTTATTTTTATCCTCTCTTCCTACTTCCATCTTTTCCACCTTTTTGTTTCTTTCCACCTGCCCGGTCTTGGTCTTTTTGCTTTCTGCTTTGTCCTTTCTGATGTTTGCCTTTGGTGCTCGGTCTCTTGCCTTTTGTATGTTCGCTACCTCCTTTTTTCCTTCCTCTTCTTGACAAACCCCTTACCACTGTCCTTGCCACATGTCCCCAAATTGCATGGGCTCCAGGCAACAAGAGAGCGGAGTTTTGTGATATCATTTCTTGTCCAGTCCATACCGAATTTATCAGATTGCCAACATCACCACAGAAGGCAAAAATCACAATTAAAGCAACGACTTTCTGGTAAAGCTTCATTGTCTTTTATGTATGCAATAAGCTTACTATGGTATCTTAGTCAGTTCCTAAAACAAAGATGTATATGTAAATAACTACAAACATAATATAAGTAATGTCATACAGTTATCTGGTTATAAATATGTGAAGTGATTGGACATTTAGATATTAAATGAAAAGCCGGAAGCACTATTCTTGATTTAACTTAAAATTTATCAGAATCACGCTAACCAAAAAAAAGTTGAAAACCGTGAAGGATGAAGAAATACATATATCTAGACAAGTGAATAACTAATAAAATAGTCAAAGTTATCTAAAAAAGTGTTTGATTTGTTTATTAGATTTTATCGAAATTTAAGGAGTTCTTGTTTATAGGTCTCATATCTTTTTAATATTTCTCTCGATTTTTTTTTATATTTTTGCAAATAAGGAAGAAGTATTTTTCCTCTTCTGATATTCTCTGTTCTCTAAGGTCTTATATGTCTGCCCTTTTCTTTTTATAGAGTGCATTCACTCATTCTAAATTTATAATAACATTATTTTTCAAAAGGAAAATTAGTGTGATTAAGTTGAAATTTTGCATTTCCAATTACTTTTATGACAATATTACACATATATATTGTTGCTTTCATTCAAATCATTTATTCTTTTCTGTATTACTGTTTTAAAATATTCATAACATAATGATTTAATAAGCATTGTTTTAAAATTTGTATGACTTACACTAATATAAATCTAATGAAAATTAATAAATATAAGTTTAGAGATCGACTTCTCGAGGATCACAATACCATGGAACGCTTGTGGTTGCCTTTAAATTAACCATTAGTATATATCACAATATAATATCTTACCTTGTATTTGATGTCAGTCGCTCAGCTTGTCTCTATATGAATCAATGACACAATACATAAACACTTTTGAACCTATATTTATATACACTTATTTGTTGGTTACATCCTGTCAATTTTAATATGTAGGCGTGCCTATATTGCTCACATGTTGGGAAAATCCTTTAACGTAATTTATTAAAAAATACTATAACTGGAAATTCTACAGCTAGAAGTTTTCCGAATATACATTTTCAACAATTTATATAATTGTGTTAGTGCTGTATCAACTGTAAGAAATAAACTACAAGATACAGCTCAGGTTATCTATTCCTGGGGTAGAAAATCCTTAGTATTTCGAAAAATGCATAAATAGGTAAACAGTTAATTTATAATTATGACCATATCAATGATCCTAATTCATGTCAACGCAGAAGTGCTGACTAATGGGCTAGTGATACCTACGGGGAGGAAACTCCAATCAGCAGTGGCTTCGACCCAGAAGTTGTTAATAAACTCATCATAAATACCAGCATTAGAAATTTTGCACGCGAGACGCTCGTTTCGTCTGCAAAAAACTTATCAGTGACACTCTGATCAAAATAGTTAAAAAGGCAAAATAAAGTACGAAGTTGAAGAGCATTGAGGACCCAAAATACAGCAAAGATAATCTATTCCTGGGGTAGAAAATTCGTAGTAAAAGAGATAAATTAGTCGACAGAAGAAGAATTTGCTACCTAACTAAGAAGAAGCAATTCCGTCATGATGTTATTTCTGTAACAATGATTATCTTTTAAAGCATTAATTACTAAGGTACACAATATCATAGTTTCATATATGAGTACAATAAATTAGTTTCATCATCGTGTCATACTTTCCAACATCTAACCACATCATGAAGTTTAATGATTGTCCCAAACTTCAATTTTGATAGATTTTGGAAATTTTAAGAAGTAATTGAAACATAACTTTTGGATATTCAAAATCATGTCAAAGAAATTATTTGGGAAGTAAAGATATGTTGAATTTTCAGGATTGTTTTTGTTTTGTTTTGTGCATTGTTTTAGTTTTCGTTTTTCTGTGATCAGCAAGACAAGATCTACAATTAAGACAATATGGAGGAAATTGTCCGACGACTCCTTATTGGAGTTATTGCCCTTTAATGACAATTTTTACCATTGATTTAGCTTTTTGTCTTATATGATAAAAATTATAATAGATAAATAGAAAATTCAAATTACAAAAATGATCAGCAAGGCAAGATCTACAAACATGTCAAATGTTCCCGATATAGTTAGTAGACTGTCACTCTTCATAGGAATGATTGCCCTTGAATGTGGATTTGTTTTACCCTCTTTTGTGTTTTGAGCAAAAAACTCAAGAAGAAAGAGAAAAACTAAACAGACTAAATGATCAGCAAAACAAGATCAACAAAAAAAGAAAAAGATTTTTGTCATGAGTTCTATTCATGTCTACAATGTTGGAGAGTATCCTTTGTTGAATATGCACGTATACCTAGGTGAGCGATAGAGGCTCTAAAGTATGGGTTATAAATTGATTCAATTTCAATGACAACAGTACATCTAAATACAATTGATAGATAAAGAAATATATGCAATAATTAATATCATTTGTCACATTAAATTAATTATGGCATCATAGTTTGATACCTACACCAAGGCTCAGGGGATATTCAAAATTCGTAAAGGTTTTATCATGAAGTTTAAAAAAAAACTGATATAAATATTCTTTTCCAGTAAAGGAGAAGGTACGATCAAGTCTTTTGTTTTCCTCTTGGATTCGAAATTTAAATTTTTTTTTTATAAAGCTATAGTATAATTTTAAAGATATATATCTCCTAGTTGATACGATATGCCATAGCTTGTGTTTCTTGTCAAATAGATTTTGAATGGTAAAATTGAAATCTTCTTTCCGAAATTTCACGAACTCAATTATGACTTGGATGACCGCTATGTCCCTGATGACAACGGATATATCTCATATGTCGTAGATATACGGGCCCTCGGTGGTCGAGTTGTCTGAGTAGTCGAACTACTGTACAGTATCACTAGCCTGTCGACACTGAGATTGTGAGTTCGAATTCCGCACGTGACTGGTGCGATCGATTCCAATATTGATTGAATAGGATTGAAAGTTTTCCTACAGAAAGTCGGTTGTTCTCTCCAGGCATTTTGGCTTCCTCCACCAATACAAACAGAATGCCACGATAGCACAATAGGGCTGGAAGTGGCGATAAGTACCAATCAATCAATTGCAGATATACTATTTTGTGTTCCAACTGCAGAGCCTTAAATTAGTACGGTTTTCATCATTGTTTTTTTTTCTATTATTTTCCGGGGAAGGGAGCGGGGTAAGATACAGGGACGTTCGTATTTTGTATGTTTTTCTTCGACTATTGGTCTTTGATTGTCACTTATTTAAGCAGCTGATTTCAGAAACTCGTTCACGAGACAACAACCAAAACGACACAAAAACTAAAAACGTAATTTATTTTAGGGAGCTACCATTTGATTTTTATAGGGGCTAGGATGACAAGTTTTGTCCTGCATTTTTGTTTAGTTGTAATCTCTGTCCTGCCTTTTTATTTTTCACTCTTTTCGGTCCTGCCTTTTTATTTTTCTCTCTTTTTGGTCTTGCTTTTTCGAATTAGTTTATCCTGACTTGTTTTACATAAATTGTCATCCTGCCTTTTTTTTTTCACAAAACTCCTGTCCTGCCTTTTTTTCAAATTTCATCCAAAAGGCTTCTTTAGTTTTTCTGTAAATTTCGGTTCCAAATATTCTTTCTATTGCGGTGACTTTTAAATTTTTCATCGAATGATTATGTTGAATGAAGTGGTTTGCCACTGGATCGTCTGTTTTGTTTGTTCTTATTTTAGAAAAGTTCAAAAACAAACTAATGGCCGTGGACCATGCGGTAAAAATTGTGCATTATGCTCACACATTAATGAGACCAAGGTTTTTTGTGATAACATCGGAAAAGAATATTCCATTCAGGGACAAATAAACTGTAAAACCGTGGGCGTAGTATATGCAATTAACTGTACAAAATGCGAAAAACTTATTTATGTAGGACAAACAGGTGATACACTATATTAACGGATGTAATTGAACTTTTCAAAAATTAGAACAAACAAAACAGACGATCCAGTAGCAAACCATTTCATTCAACATAATCATTCGATGAAAAATTTAAAAGTTACTGGAATAGAAAGAACATTTGGCACAGATATTTACAGGAAAACTAAAGAAGCATTTTGGATAAAAAAAACTAAAAACTTTAGAACCTGATGGACTCAACACAATGTATGAACGATAGTGAAAATATTTATAAAAAGAGTAAAAAACGCGGGAAATGAACGTCATAGTAGTTGTTATTGCGTAATGTATCCAAGCGATGTAATTGTTGTTTCAATGTTGTAATCTATTCCAATGAAGAAGGCCATAATGGCCGAAACGTATGGAAAATTGTGTTATAGTTTTTATTATATATATATATATGTGTTTGTAACAAAAATAAGGATGTGGTTTGATTGTCATTGATCGCGAAAAAAATATACAGTTTACGTTGAAATCGCAATCGTACAAGTTGATCTCTAGAACAGTCACCTAAACACTGTGTTAATCCTTTATAAAGAAGGGAATAACACATGTAACAAAATAATATCTTATTTTTATCCTCTCTTCCTACTTCCATCTTTTCCACCTTTTTGTTTCTTTCCACCTGCCCGGTCTTGGTCTTTTTGCTTTCTGCTTTGTCCTTTCTGATGTTTGCCTTTGGTGCTCGGTCTCTTGCCTTTTGTATGTTCGCTACCTCCTTTTTTCCTTCCTCTTCTTGACAAACCCCTTACCACTGTCCTTGCCACATGTCCCCAAATTGCATGGGCTCCAGGCAACAAGAGAGCGGAGTTTTGTGATATCATTTCTTGTCCAGTCCATACCGAATTTATCAGATTGCCAACATCACCACAGAAGGCAAAAATCACAATTAAAGCAACGACTTTCTGGTAAAGCTTCATTGTCTTTTATGTATGCAATAAGCTTACTATGGTATCTTAGTCAGTTCCTAAAACAAAGATGTATATGTAAATAACTACAAACATAATATAAGTAATGTCATACAGTTATCTGGTTATAAATATGTGAAGTGATTGGACATTTAGATATTAAATGAAAAGCCGGAAGCACTATTCTTGATTTAACTTAAAATTTATCAGAATCACGCTAACCAAAAAAAAGTTGAAAACCGTGAAGGATGAAGAAATACATATATCTAGACAAGTGAATAACTAATAAAATAGTCAAAGTTATCTAAAAAAGTGTTTGATTTGTTTATTAGATTTTATCGAAATTTAAGGAGTTCTTGTTTATAGGTCTCATATCTTTTTAATATTTCTCTCGATTTTTTTTTATATTTTTGCAAATAAGGAAGAAGTATTTTTCCTCTTCTGATATTCTCTGTTCTCTAAGGTCTTATATGTCTGCCCTTTTCTTTTTATAGAGTGCATTCACTCATTCTAAATTTATAATAACATTATTTTTCAAAAGGAAAATTAGTGTGATTAAGTTGAAATTTTGCATTTCCAATTACTTTTATGACAATATTACACATATATATTGTTGCTTTCATTCAAATCATTTATTCTTTTCTGTATTACTGTTTTAAAATATTCATAACATAATGATTTAATAAGCATTGTTTTAAAATTTGTATGACTTACACTAATATAAATCTAATGAAAATTAATAAATATAAGTTTAGAGATCGACTTCTCGAGGATCACAATACCATGGAACGCTTGTGGTTGCCTTTAAATTAACCATTAGTATATATCACAATATAATATCTTACCTTGTATTTGATGTCAGTCGCTCAGCTTGTCTCTATATGAATCAATGACACAATACATAAACACTTTTGAACCTATATTTATATACACTTATTTGTTGGTTACATCCTGTCAATTTTAATATGTAGGCGTGCCTATATTGCTCACATGTTGGGAAAATCCTTTAACGTAATTTATTAAAAAATACTATAACTGGAAATTCTACAGCTAGAAGTTTTCCGAATATACATTTTCAACAATTTATATAATTGTGTTAGTGCTGTATCAACTGTAAGAAATAAACTACAAGATACAGCTCAGGTTATCTATTCCTGGGGTAGAAAATCCTTAGTATTTCGAAAAATGCATAAATAGGTAAACAGTTAATTTATAATTATGACCATATCAATGATCCTAATTCATGTCAACGCAGAAGTGCTGACTAATGGGCTAGTGATACCTACGGGGAGGAAACTCCAATCAGCAGTGGCTTCGACCCAGAAGTTGTTAATAAACTCATCATAAATACCAGCATTAGAAATTTTGCACGCGAGACGCTCGTTTCGTCTGCAAAAAACTTATCAGTGACACTCTGATCAAAATAGTTAAAAAGGCAAAATAAAGTACGAAGTTGAAGAGCATTGAGGACCCAAAATACAGCAAAGATAATCTATTCCTGGGGTAGAAAATTCGTAGTAAAAGAGATAAATTAGTCGACAGAAGAAGAATTTGCTACCTAACTAAGAAGAAGCAATTCCGTCATGATGTTATTTCTGTAACAATGATTATCTTTTAAAGCATTAATTACTAAGGTACACAATATCATAGTTTCATATATGAGTACAATAAATTAGTTTCATCATCGTGTCATACTTTCCAACATCTAACCACATCATGAAGTTTAATGATTGTCCCAAACTTCAATTTTGATAGATTTTGGAAATTTTAAGAAGTAATTGAAACATAACTTTTGGATATTCAAAATCATGTCAAAGAAATTATTTGGGAAGTAAAGATATGTTGAATTTTCAGGATTGTTTTTGTTTTGTTTTGTGCATTGTTTTAGTTTTCGTTTTTCTGTGATCAGCAAGACAAGATCTACAATTAAGACAATATGGAGGAAATTGTCCGACGACTCCTTATTGGAGTTATTGCCCTTTAATGACAATTTTTACCATTGATTTAGCTTTTTGTCTTATATGATAAAAATTATAATAGATAAATAGAAAATTCAAATTACAAAAATGATCAGCAAGGCAAGATCTACAAACATGTCAAATGTTCCCGATATAGTTAGTAGACTGTCACTCTTCATAGGAATGATTGCCCTTGAATGTGGATTTGTTTTACCCTCTTTTGTGTTTTGAGCAAAAAACTCAAGAAGAAAGAGAAAAACTAAACAGACTAAATGATCAGCAAAACAAGATCAACAAAAAAAGAAAAAGATTTTTGTCATGAGTTCTATTCATGTCTACAATGTTGGAGAGTATCCTTTGTTGAATATGCACGTATACCTAGGTGAGCGATAGAGGCTCTAAAGTATGGGTTATAAATTGATTCAATTTCAATGACAACAGTACATCTAAATACAATTGATAGATAAAGAAATATATGCAATAATTAATATCCTTTGTCACATTAAATTAATTATGGCATCATAGTTTGATACCTACACCAAGGCTCAGGGGATATTCAAAATTCGTAAAGGTTTTATCATGAAGTTTAAAAAAAAACTGATATAAATATTCTTTTCCAGTAAAGGAGAAGGTACGATAAAGTCTTTTGTTTTCCTCTTGGATTCGAAATTTAAAAATTTTTTTTATAAAGCTATAGTATAATTTTAAAGATATATATCTCCTAGTTGATACTATATGCCATAGCTTGTGTTTCTTGTCAAATAGATTTTGAATGGTAAAATTGAAATCTTCTTTCCGAAATTTCACGAACTCAATTATGACTTGGATGACCGCTATGTCCCTGATGACAACGGATATATCTCATATGTCGTAGATATACGGGCCCTCGGTGGTCGAGTTGTCTGAGTAGTCGAACTACTGTACAGTATCACTAGCCTGTCGACACTGAGGTTGTGAGTTCGAATTCCGCACGTGACTGGTGCGATCGATTCCAATATTGATTGAATAAGATTGAAAGTTTTCCTACAGAAAGTCGGTTGTTCTCTCCGGGCATTTTGGCTTCCTCCACCAATATAAACAGAATGCCACGATAGCACAATAGGGCTGGAAGTGGCGATAAGTACCAATCAATCAATTGCAGATATACTATTTTGTGTTCCAACTGCAGAGCCTTAAATTAGTACGGTTTTCATCATTGTTTTTGTTTCTATTATTTTCCGGGGAAGGGAGCGGGGTAAGATACAGGGACGTTCGTATTGTGTATGTCTTTCTTCGACTATTGGTCTTTGATTGTCACTTATTTAAGCAGCTGATTTCAGAAACTCGTTCACGAGACAACAACCAAAACGACACAAAAACTAAAAACGTAATTTATTTTAGGGAGCTACCATTTGATTTTTATAGGGGCTAGGATGACAAGTTTTGTCCTGCATTTTTGTTTAGTTGTGATCTCTGTCCTGCCTTTTTATTTTTCACTCTTTTCGGTCCTGCCTTTTTATTTTTCTCTCTTTTTGGTCTTGCTTTTTCGAATTAGTTTATCCTGACTTGTTTTACATAAATTGTCATCCTGCCTTTTTTTTTTCACAAAACTCCTGTCCTGCCTTTTTTTCAAATTTCATCCAAAAGGCTTCTTTAGTTTTTCTGTAAATTTCGGTTCCAAATATTCTTTCTATTGCGGTGACTTTTAAATTTTTCATCGAATGATTATGTTGAATGAAGTGGTTTGCCACTGGATCGTCTGTTTTGTTTGTTCTTATTTTAGAAAAGTTCAAAAACAAACTAATGGCCGTGGACCATGCGGTAAAAATTGTGCATTATGCTCACACATTAATGAGACCAAGGTTTTTTGTGATAACATCGGAAAAGAATATACCATTCAGGGACAAATAAACTGTAAAACCGTGGGCGTAGTATATGCAATTAACTGTACAAAATGCGAAAAACTTATTTATGTAGGACAAACAGGTGATACACTATATTAACGGATGTAATTGAACTTTTCAAAAATTAGAACAAACAAAACAGACGATCCAGTAGCAAACCATTTCATTCAACATAATCATTCGATGAAAAATTTAAAAGTTACTGTAATAGAAAGAACATTTGGCACAGATATTTACAGGAAAACTAAAGAAGCATTTTGGATAAAAAAAACTAAAAACTTTAGAACCTGATGGACTCAACACAATGTATGAACGATAGTGAAAATATTTATAAAAAGAGTAAAAAACGCGGGAAATGAACGTCATAGTAGTTGTTATTGCGTAATGTATCCAAGCGATGTAATTGTTGTTTCAATGTTGTAATCTATTCCAATGAAGAAGGCCATAATGGCCGAAACGTATGGAAAATTGTGTTATAGTTTTTATTATATATATATATATGTGTGTTTGTAACAAAAATAAGGATGTGGTTTGATTGTCATTGATCGCGACGTCTAATATACACAAGACTCAAAATGGTGTGGATGTAAGCGATGTGATGACATAGATGGTACGTAACTGCACTGTAAACTCAAAGATTCTAAAAACTGATTCAAATTATGGTAAAAGAACACAGATTCCATAAGACTGTGCCAAAAGTTCTTGAAGAACATATACAGCTTAATTTGTCTTATTTGGCTTATGATGGTGACGTTCCGTTGTGACCATCTTATGGTTTTTATATATCTCAACTTGTTCGATTCTCTCGTGTATGTAACAACGTATTTACTTTAAAGAAAGAAATCTCTGTATACTGAAAGATTATTACACCAGGGTTTTCGATATCACAAACTAGTCAAAACATTTTTTAAAACAATTCTGTCATCGATACAAAGACTTGAAAGACATCATTCGTAAATATAAATCAACATGCAGACATCTTATAGTTTAAGTTCAGGTATTTCACATCCAATCAATATTCTTAAAAAGCACAACTATGTCGGCATCCACCTCAAAAGCTAACCAACAGACTTATTCAGAAGGAATATAGTTACGATACTGTTGTCAGGTCATTAAAGAGTATTAATATTGATTCACTCATTGGGTCTTTGCATAAAAAAACACATTGATTCTAAAACAAGTTGTTCTTCTCGTATATTTTATGACCATGATGATGGTATGATACTACTAAACCCCTAACGGGAGGTATTGTGCTTGATTTTCACATGATGGAGACATAATATTTCACTCAGTTTAATTGAGTTCTGGAGCTGGCATGTCAGTAACTGCTAATAGTCCTTTGTTAATTTATGTATCATTGTCAATTTGCTTAGTTTCGTTTGTTACCAATTCTGACATCGGACTCGGTCTTCTTTTAAACGGAATGTTACTGTGCGTTGTGTGTTTGCTTTTTTCTAAATTGCCTAGAGGTATTGCGGGATGATTGAGATATCACTAAACATGTTTTACCCCGCCGAATGTTTTAGCCTGTCTCAAGTCAGGAGCCCTGGTCTTTGTTAGTCTTGTAAGATTTTTACTTTTATTGATATATGAAGATGTGGTATGAGTGCCAATGAGACAACTCTCAATCCAAATCACTAATATGTTTTTGAGTTTAGCATGACGTCCATTTTCGCTGAACTAGTACACATTTTTGTTTATGGGCCAGCTGAATTACGCCTTCGTTCGCGAGATATTCTCGCTGTGTTGAAGACCTATTGGAGGCCTTCGGCTGTTTTCTGCTCTTTGGACAGGTTGTTGTCTATTTGACACATTCCCCATTTCCATTCTCAATTTTATATGTCTCTGCACAAACGTATTAAGAGAATTAGGCACAAACAACATACAAGTACAGAATAAAAGAATATATATTTAAAAAAAAAAAAGGATTTTAAAACGAAAGGTAAAAACCTTACAAATAATAGGAAACTAACAGAAACATGTCTAAGAAATAAAAAATTTAGAAACGAAGAACTTACTCCCATCTTCCTCCATCCAGACCCTTATGTATTATCTTACTAAATATCAAGTGTGCATTTATCTAAAAACCAATTTCAAGTTATTTCCGGTCGATACCTGTTGAACTTGTTGATTACATTGTTGGAACGGAAAGGTTGGATGAAATTGAATTGTAAATAATGAAAAAACTATGAAATCTGTCTTCCTATCTTGACTTTTTAATTGGTTTTGTTCATTGTTGTAGGCCGTACGGTGACCTATAAGTAATTACTTCGACATTATTTTATTATTACGACTTTTTTCACAAATAAAGAATAATTTTTGTTCGGTTTTTCAGTTTTTTTAATTTCTCTATATAAGAGGAGATAACTAAGGTAATCTTACTTTATTTATTTTGTTTTGAAGCAAAATAAACAATTAAACCTTTGGCCTGATTTTTTCTTTTTGTTTTATGAACGCAACTTAAATAAGAACCAGTTTCTCCCATTTTATCTTAAAGTTCTGTCTTTTAGTCTTTATTCGTTCACAACAAAAACTTGAGTTTTCAATGTACATTCTTCAAAATCTGACAATTCTGTACAACCTTTAGCTTTAATAAAAAGCTTGATGAACAATATCAATTTGTGCAGTCCTAACATATACAGCAAGTTAACTTGGCAACCAGTCATTGTGACTAGTCGCAGTTTACCTGGACTGATCCAACCTGTCCTAAGATCAAAATAAAGCAAACTTGGTCCTAGGACTGTTTTTATGACTCGCCGAAG